CGTGGTTCATATGCATCTCAGTATGCAGTGAGGACAGCCGTGGTTCATATGCATCTCAGTATGCAGTGAGGACAGCTGTGGTTCAGATGCATCTCAGTATGCAGTGAGGACAGCTGTGGTTCAGATGCATCTCAGCATCCAGGGAGGACAGCTGTGGTTCAGATGCATCTCAGCATCCAGGGAGGACAGCCGTGGTTTCGATGGCATGTGTGCAGCAGAAGTGCTTTGTGTAGATTCTTCAGTTGACAAGTAGATTCTTAAAAAGACATGTCTTAGTTTCATTTGTGTTGCAGTGACAACATATCCTGAAAAAAAAAAAAGCAACTTAGAGAAGAAAGGGGTTTATTTTAGCTTACAGGTCCAGGTTATAGTCTGCCAGTGGAGGAAAATCACAACAAGAGCTTGAAGCAACTAGTCATATCATATCCACAACTATGATCAAAGAAAAAGGAACGCATGTATGCATTCTATTGCATAGCCAAGTCTAGCTTTTCTGTACTTTTTCTACAGTTCAGAGCTCTAAACCAAGGAACTGTGCACACACTTTCAAGCTGGGTCTGCCCACATCAATGAAGGCAGTTATGACAATTCCCCCCACATCTGCTCACAGGCCATCTAGGCAATCCCTCATTGACACCCCCTTTTCATTGTGTCAATTTGACAATCAAAAGTTAACTGTTACAACATGTCCAATAAAATTTTATAAAAGCAATGCTTTTCTACTGCTTCATCAAGGACATCTTTAGCTAACTGCTTTTTTGTTTAATAGTTTAATAGCATTAATTTAATTTAATAGAATGTCCAGGGTCAGTTGGATTGAAAATTCCATTGTTTTGATTCCTGTTAGTGTTCTAGCAATTTACCTATTGTTGCTATGTACCATCAGTGCACATGCCAATAGTGAAAAAGGCAAACATCTGAGCATTGTGTTGAAGATGATGTGATTTCCTGAGCCTGTGAGCAGCATCTGAGCCTCTATGTATCCCCAGGTTTCCCTTCGTGAACTGTTTCTCTATGTGGGTACCTTCAAGCAATAAGCTAAGGTGTACTGTGAACCCTCTTGATTGTGTTTTGCAAAAGAAATGGAGAATCTTTGGTTAATGTGGTAATACAATGGAGACTGGCTAAGTTAAGTTTAGGCTTAGCATTTCTGGTGTTTTGGGAGACAGGGTCTCACTATGTAATGTCTCCTAAGTACTGGGCTGACAGACATGCACTGAAATATCTGATTTACCAGAAAATATTGCGTGAACTTTGTGCAAACTAGTCTCTGACTCCAGATTGACAATTTTGAATTGTCAATTGTCTGGGCTTTATGTGTTTCTTTAACAATATTTTTGTCTGTAACATTTTTATTCCATTTATGTGAGGAGGAACCATGCCAAAGTGCATATGTAGAGGTCAAAGGAAAATTTTGTGGAGTTAGTTGTCACCTTCCATCTTTACGTGAGTTTCAGGATCAAATTCAGGTTGTCAGGTTTGCATCCATTAAGTAGTACGTGTCTTACCTGCTGAGCTATCCCACTGGCCCTCAATGGGATTTTCTAGTCTGTTTCAATTTTTATACCAAATGTATAAATCTAATCATTCTTCTCTCTCTTTTTCATCCTTCCCTCTTTTTTTTCCTCCCTTCCCCCTCTCAGAATTAGAGGCAGCAGTAAGGATTTTTAAAAAGTAATGTAAAGGAGAATTTTTATTTAATGCACTATCCTGATCCTCCACAAACTAAGTTGAATATTAACTACAAAATGAAAAATGCATGCTTTACATTGGATGAATCCTTATCTAAGGTGCTATAGATTGTTTGTTACATAATTGATAGGTTTTTTTTAATTTTTAAGATAAATGACTCTGTATTTACTTTTAGAATATGCTTGAATTGCTGGAAGAAATGCCAAATGGAGTTCCACCTGAAAAAGTGAAAAGCTACATCTACCAACTAATCAAAGCTATTCATTGGTGCCACAAGAATGACATTGTCCATAGAGGTGAGTATGGGACTCTTGAAATGGAGACTACTAAATAAATTGGCTAATTAAAGATTGATCTGTTTTAAGACTATTTCTATTTTGAAAGTAAACATATGAGAAGTCTTTTGCTCTATACCCACCAAAGGGCAGCATCCAGGTTTATTCGGATATTGTGGTGATATCTCTATTTGTATAACCAAGCCTGCTATGATTGTTGCAATACTAATGAGTCAGCAGATGCAAAATTTGCAGCTTATTCTGGGTGGAATCAAAGAGGCAGATAGACAGTTTCCATAGCCTTTGTGTCTTACAGATAGACCAGGGCATGTGAACCAACTCAGATTATAAGTGGTCTCTTAAGTCACTGATCCGCCAGTACAGCTTTCCTTTCGTTCTGTCTTAGACCAGCACACATCTCTAATACACATCTTTACGTGCTGATTTCTGCTCCCTATTGGTGAAAAGTGCCCCTTGTCTATAGATACAAAGTATAATTGGTCTTGTATGGCCCATGGTTATACTTCTCTAAACTATATCACTTTTTCTTTAGCACTACAAAGTCAGTGGTTTCAGCAGTAAGGGGAATTATTTGCTTGGTGTCATTTTGACTAATATTTATTTTCTAATAATCTCACTTACACTGGAAAGCTTACAGCAATGGATAATAATAATGTTTGATAATAATAATGAAGCTAAAATGTTTATCAGAAATGTTGGCATATCTACTTCTTTTCTTTGTATTATTGTTAATTATTATTATACTAAATTTATCTGTACAAATGTACAAGGATAATTACCTTTAAAGTAGTCTTACTTTTAAGAAAGAGTAGCTGAAGATTTCCAACTTCTACTATTTGACTCTCGTAGTAGTTACCCTATTAGCAAGACTGTACACAGCCCCAAGTTAACTGGCCATCTAGTATCTTAGATAATGGTTGAAAACCAGCCTGTGTTACACGTTAGGATGTTAATGAGGAGCTGAGTTAAGTGTATTTCCGTTATAGGACTGTGATTTGATTAAGTGATAGGAAGTCTGACTCTGAGCTGGGTCTGTAAATGGTAGAGTGCTTGACTAGCCTTTGGTTCGATCTCCAGGATCAGAAAACACAATCCCATAACTGGAAAGTCTTTCGATTCCACTCCCTCTGTAATCACCTTATTTTCATCTCTACCACGTAATATAGATGGTAACTATTGTTCTCTAAAAATACAGTTGTAGCTGGGCATGGCAGTATATACCTGTATTCTCAGCATTTGGGAAGTAGAGACAGGAGGATTGGGAATTCAATGCCATCTTTGAATACATAGGCAGGCGTTGGAGGCCAGTCTGAGATACATGAGATCCTATGTCAACAAATAAGATTGTAAGGTGCCTCTCAGTGGAATAGTTCAACTTCATTTTCTGAAATTTCTGCTCCTTAACCCTTATCACATCTTTACATGACCTATTGGGGAAAACATGACAGTCTTGACTGTTATGAACCACACGAAAAAACAAAATAGGTGTGTGAATATAGGAATTATACAGAGAACCTTTTTAGAGTTTTCCTCTAGTAAACTGTTTAACCATTAATGGGTATGTTTTTAAAGATATCATGGAGATATAAACATTTTAGGTTCAATCTCCAAAAATTTGTATTACTAACATTTTATGAAGCAAAAATAGTTCCTTTAAGTATATTGGCCTAAGTTTAATCATTTTAAAATTCCTCACAGAATTAAGTAAGTTGTGTCCTCGACATGCTTTAGGCTCTAGGGCCAATCCTTAGCAGGGAAAGGGAGAGAGATAGTTATATTTTGGGTTTTTTTTTTGGGGGGGGGAATCTCCTTCGCAATTATGGTCTGCATACCTCTTTAAAAAAATGGAGCCTTTTTGTAGCAGCAGAAAATGTCTTTTCTCTTCTTCGCACTGCACAGTTTTCTAGTCAAATCCTGCTTAGATGATTTTAAATAGATGCCATTGCAGTACTGTGTCAATCAGCAAAAAATAGGACGTCTTTACTTACTGTTTTTTAATCTTGGTATTCTAGATATAAAGCCTGAAAATCTCTTAATCAGCCACAATGATGTCCTGAAACTATGTGACTTCGGTAAGTTAAAAAGAAATTGAGCCCCAATATTGAGAGGATTAATTTAATGTACTACGTGGGTAGCATTTAAAGGTATATTAAAAGTAATCTTATATTTTGATTTAAATTAGTAGAGGAGCATTTAGTTGAGTCATATACTGACAGCTGGTGGCTGGTATAGCTTTGCTTTCTCTTTGTTGTATGGTATATTATCTGCAATTTTAACAAATTATGCAAGTTATTTGTTTAATGAAAGTTAATTTGGAACAAATACTTGGTTGTCATGTAGGAGTAATGTACCAAATGACCCAGTATCAAATGATCCCAGAATTAGAGTTTTCTGTGAACCATCAGTATAGATTCCTGGTTAGAGTAGGATAAAATGTTTTGTATATTGATAGAAATTGTTCTACATTTAGTCATAACCACTAGCTACCCATCTTCACACTAGTGCCCATCTTCACACTTATGTATGGTATACATACAGTGGTTGTACCGGTAAGGTCAAAGCCATTTTGAGAACACATCTATTTGTTCTTGTTAAATGTTTAATGAATAAAATGGGTAATTGGTGTACAATACTCCTTATTTCTCAAATATACAGAAAAACTTCTAAAAATTATACTTCTAGTAAAATCTGTGTTGTTTTTCATGTGGATAATTCTATTTTAAATGCTGTTAAATATTTTAAATAATATAGAAAACTTAATAGTGTTTAGGTTATGGCTCAATAAAAATATCAGAAAGGAGCATTTACAAAAAGAAGCAGACAATTAAAATTTTTGAGTTTTCTTTACTACTCAAGAGTTGATTTAAATACTTAAATTATTTTGTTCTGAAATAGGATTTCATGTATCTCAGGCTGACTTCCAACTCATTTGTAGCTAAGGATGGCCCTAAGCATCTGATCCATCTGCCTCCACCTCTTGAGTGTTGGGATTATAATCATGTGCCACCAATCCAAGTTTATGCGATGTTAGAGGTAGAACCCAGGGGCTCCTGCATGCTAGGAAGAGACTACCAACTGAACATACTCCAAGCCCCAGGGTCACATGCACTGATTTTAAGTCAAATGTTGCCATTTCAGCTTTTGAAATTTTCCTTTTACCTGATCTACATTGCAAAAAAAAAAAAATGGCAACTCTTTAAAATATTATTGGGAGCTGGAGAAATGGCTCAGTGGTTAAGAAAACTTATTGCTCTTGAAAAGGACCTGGGTTCAGTTCCCAGTACCCACAAAGTAGCTCAGAACTGGCTGTAACTCCAGTTCCAAGGGATCTGACTTCCCTCTTCTGGCCTCCACTGATTTCCAAGAATATTGTCTATGAGCTCCCGTCTGTAATTATGACTACCTCCCAAGATGTCAGCAGACTCTATGTCCCTCGCACTCTTATTTACTATGCCTACCCATGATTCTACATTAAGGTTCAAAGTGACTGAAGATTTTAAAACAGGTATAAATACAAAAGAAATGCCCGCAGTGTGGTTAGCAATAGGAAAAGTGTACTATTTCTCTAGCATTGTTGCTTTAAAAAGTGGTCAGGAAGTTCCTTCTGGCAGCACTCCATGTGGCATCCTATGTCCTGTGGGTCCCATCAAGGACTTCCTAATTAATTGCCTTCCCTAGCAGAGAGGCAACTCCTTTGTCTGGCTTGGAGAGCCCCATTCAGGATTGCACATAGTTATTCAGCGAATGCTCCAGTAGGGAGAATTGATTAGCTGAAGTTAGGGGCTTTGTCTTTTGTTGCTGTTGTTTCATTTCTCTTTTTTACTGTTTCACTTTAAGAAACACTAAGTTTTGCCTCTCAAGCTGACACAAGCCTTAATTTTTACTCCAGTTTTAATGTTTTCCTGACCCTGGTGGTGAACCTCTATTGCATTTGGTGGGTTAGATGGGTAATTGATTTACCTTCCTGCTTCATTTTTTGGTCCTAAACCTTTGGAAAGAGTGGGGACAAAAACAATGCTAGTGCCTAGAAGGTGATTAAGATACCCTCGTCGCTTCTACAGCATTAAGGGCTAAGAGTAATTTTCAGCCTACTCGTTTCTATCAGTGCCAACTGTTAATTGTTTACTTAATGACTGGAGCTGCGCAGCAACAGTAAATACACAGTATTGTGTAGGTCTCACACAGCAGAATTAATGCTCATGTGACTTGGACTCCTGGCCCTAGTGAGCTCTCAATTTTAAATTGAAAATTTTAGGAGAGTCTATTTGGAAATCTGGCTCCACATACTGACCAAAAAAAAAAAAAAAAAAAAAAAAAAAAAAAAAAAAAAAAAAAAAAAAGACTGGGTGAATTTGAAAACACAGCTCTTTAGCATAGAAGAAAGACTGAGTCTATAGCAAATTCATCATGTGCTTTAACATAGGAACACTTAACTATTTCAAATAAAGATGTTCTTAATAAAGTCTATTTAATGTTAGTCATTATACTCTTTTGGTCTTCCTTAAAAGTATTACTAGATGTGAACGATTTTGCCAACAGGAAATTGCTATTCTTTCAGGTTTTGCTCGGAATCTCTCAGAGGGCAATAATGCGAATTACACAGAGTATGTGGCTACAAGGTGGTACCGATCGCCAGAGCTATTACTCGGGTGAGTTACTTTTCTAATAGTGTGGCCTATACACACTTGCTGTTTCTTTGTCATTTGTATTGGGATCACTTATGGAAAATAAAAACTTGGGTTACTTAAATATATCAGTTGCATATTCAGTGTGAAAAAATACCCCTAAGGACGTCATGCTGCTGAGAAACAAGCTGCATTGCCTTTATCTCAGTTCTGAGCTCCTGTGGCTTGAGTTCAGCCCAGTAGCCTCTCTTGGAGTCACTCCGATGGTTGACTGGCAAATGGACTGGGAACGCGTTGATGTAGATGTCCTTTGGCTGGTGTCTGATAGACATTCTCTCTCTCTCTCTCTCTCTCTCTCTCTCTCTCTCTCTCTCTCTCTCTGTGTGTGTGTGTGTGTGTGTGTGTGTGTGTGTCAGGGGAGGGGCACTGTATGTGCATGTAGAGACCAGAATCTCATTCTTCAGTCACTTTTGTAAGACAGGGTCTCTCACTGGCCTGTATCTAGGCTGAGCAAGGTATCCCTCCATAGGGAATGGACTCAAAAAGCCAGTTCATGCACTAGGGATAAACCCTGGCCCCACTGCCAGTGGCCCTACAGTCTGCCCCAGCCACACAACTGTCACCCACATTCAAGGGGCCTAGTTGGGTTCTATGCAGGTCACCCTGCTGCCAGTCTGCTCCTCATTTCTTTGAGACAGGATCTTTTGCTGAGCCTGGAGCTCATTTAGTTGGCTACACTGACTGGCCAGTGAGTCCCCAGGGTCCTTTTGTCTCTGCTTCCCAGCGCTGGCATTACAAGTATCCACTGCCATACCCAGATGTTTCTGTGGGTACTAGAGATCAAAACTCACATTCTCATGCTTATTAAGCTGAGCTATCGCCCCAGCTTCTTGGGCTAATTTTTGATCCTGGAGTTAAGATTGTTTTTCGTTGTATCCATCTGTGTTTCTCCTGGTCTATTTGTGCATCACTGGGCTTTATTATACTCTTTTGAGGATTTGTAATTTGAATTTATAGGACACTATTTGCTAATGAAGAGTAGCAAGCAGATCATTCTTAGAACTGCAACCAAGAGCCCAAGTATGGCAGAAGAAGTCTTTAAAATGTGACTTTTATCTAGAAAATAGACCCATGGAGTGTCTTGTGGGGATAGCATTATTATGAATTTTTAGAGGACATTTATTCTCTCGTGGCACCCATTGGAAAACTGAGGTTATGTTTAGAGATGTTCGATAGTTGCTAAACGCAGATGAGCACAGCACAGCCAACGTAAGCACAGTTGAATTGATTGTCAGGTTCTAGTTGAAGTACCATACTATTTGTGTAAAAATTTCATTGAAATCAGTCGGTATTTGGTTTTATATTGAGTCTACACGTTTATACATTCCGAGGACTTTGTCCTTGATATCCAAAATAGTTTCAGCTGCATAAAGTATTCAAATTAGATGATAGGATTAAAATAGCTTGTCATGAGTGTGAGATTTTTCCATAGGTTTTTCAATCTAGTACCATATGACAGGTTTTCTTTATCTCAAATAGTAGTTTTAAAATCAGTATGCTTAATTGCCCAGAAAGCTCCCAAAATTGTTTAAATGAGCTTTCCTCATGGTTTTAGATTTTGGGGGAGTAGGGGAAGGAAATGAGATAAATGAAACACTGAGTTATTGTTGCAGTAACTTGTATTAACCTAAATTATTCTGTATGCTAATAGTGCTTTAGTTTAAATTTTTTATATTAGCATTATGGCATTCTAGAATTTCATTTGAGATTATTTTTCACATATTTTATTTTGGCTTTCCCTTTTTAAGGCTTGGATTATTTGTTTGAAGCTGTATATAAGCTTTGTTTAAACTGTCACAAATAATTTTATTTTACGTTTTAGGTACCAAGCTATAAGCTAAATGGGGAGCCTTAGATTTTCATTTATGGCCTCCATTTGTAGCAAATTCTCTTCGTCAAGCTCTCTAGTGATTTAGGTCCTAAAAGAGAGCTACAAATCCTTATATAGATTAAAACATTTTTTTACTAGAACTAGTTATCAGAATGCCTCGTATAAAATACAATTATATCTAAATAAGTCATCTTAGCTGTTAGGAATTGTGGTTCTAAGCAATCAGAAGCTAAATAACATTCAGTATTTGTTTAAGGTACATAAGGCAATGGCACATTATTAGACAATGGTACATTTTATCAGACTAAAGCTTAAAGTAGTAATTATTTGAAAATACATTTCTTGGGAATATTTCTTTGTCTAAGTGAGGTGTTCTTATTCAATATGTACATTACATTAGTTTATTTAAGTCATTCGTGTTCAAGATATATCTGTATTTCAAATAAGTAAATCCTAACTCCATTGTGCTTAAACTGATTTCTTTTAGCGTGTGGGTTATGGACTTGTATTCTAAATTTTTATGTAGGTGGCTCTAATTTATTTCCAGTCTCGCTTTTGCTAGTGGCCCTTTTAAATTTCTTAAGTGCATGCATGTCTTAAATCATAAATTGGTCCAAATTAAGTTGGGAATTATTAAACATTTTGTGTCTTCAGTTATTAAAATTGTCTCTTCTTTTGCTTTTCAGAGCTCCCTATGGAAAGTCCGTAGACATGTGGTCGGTGGGCTGTATTCTTGGGGAGCTTAGTGATGGACAGCCCTTATTTCCTGGAGAAAGTGAAATTGACCAACTCTTTACTATTCAGAAGGTGCTAGGACCACTTCCATCTGAGCAGATGAAGCTCTTCTACAGTAATCCTCGTTTCCATGGGCTCCGGGTAAGAGGCTTTGCTAAAATCCAAAATGGAATCAATCTGGCAGCATTTAACGTGCTGTTCATTGCACAATAGAATGCTAAGCTTCCCATTGCACACTCTCCCCTTCCCATCACTGCGTTTTTAATTCTCACTATAATATTTTATTTCTGAATCTTACATAGTATTTGTGAAATTAAAAATAGCCACAGTTGGGAAGCAGGAGCTGCTAATGTCTTTTTTTCTAAACTGTAAAGTTTGATTTTTCAGTATCTTTTTAGCATGTACATTATTTTGTTCCAAACCTTTATCTTACACTGTCTCTTTATTCAAAATATTAAGCATCTCTGAAAGACAGACGTATGCTGCTGTTGACTTAGGTGAATATATTTGTGGTGTCTTGAAGACGGCCATGAGTGCCTGCGTTCTACAAACTTAGAGGTTCTGCTTCACAGATCTTTCCTGGACACTGGCAGGGGAACATCAGATCCCGATAGAAGTCAGAGCCTTGGGCATATTTTCCTAGGCTTGCTGCCTTTGTGTAAGACTTGTCTGCTGAGACTATAATAAAAAATATTTTCAAAACCATAAACTTTATCCAAATGAGGACCTTGTAACTGCCAGTGCTACCTCATGAGAATCAGCGTTTTATAGACTACTCTTTGTTTCCGTCTACCCACAATGCAACTTTTTAAGTGTTTAAGACTCCTTTAAGCCAATGTGTCAGTTTGTAGTCATTGTAGAAACTATTAAACAATTTCATCATTCCTTGCTTTATTTTATTTTCCAGTGCAAATGTATAAATCTCAAACCATGCTATTATGTTTATTAGATATTTTTTTATTCTTTGAAAATGTTGTATATTCATACAATGTATTTCAGTCATGCCCCTCTAACTCACCCTAGGGTCCCCCAATCTCACCTCCCTCTGAACTTCATGTCTTCCATGTTTTTTGCCCTTGTTGTTAATGATAACCCCGAGTCCAGTTAGTGCTTCCCATGTATGTATGAGTGACCTACTTGCATCTATGTCCCCAAAGGAAAATGACTTTTCTTCCCTCGCAACCATCAGCTATCATGAAATGACAAATTCATGATGTCACTTGCCATTTGTAAAGTGCTTTGTTTTTTTTCCTTTGACTTTCTGGACCTCAGTTAGTTTCTCCTGCTCACATATGAATGTACAACACAGTCCCAGCTCCTACTGGGGTCAGCACACTTGGAAGGCATGAACAAAGTGAGCTGTGTATACTTTTTCATTCCTCTCTCTGTTTTCTTTTTTCACTTCCTCCCCCAAAGATGCCTGTTCCTTTAGACTATTTTCTCCTTTTATTTTTGCTTATATTAGCCAAATTGTGACCATTGATTAGTTTACAAAATAGTATGTAGTTCAAAATTAATTTAGCGGTTATGGAACATTTCTCGTACTAGAGGCTGAAAATGTGGCAATAAATAAGACCTGTTCTTGGTCTCACAGAGAGGCAAATATTATATTCACAAATACTGAATTTCTGTTTTCACTGAGGATCATTCCATGCTCTCTGCCATAGCCTGTGAGGTCTCGCATGATGGGGTCTTTGGTTCCCTGACCTTGTCTCATACTTGTCTCCATTTGCCTCCCTCCAAATTCTCACCACACTTGCCTGTTCTTTTACCTCTGTGGGCATCCTGAGATGTTGGTACTTCATGAACCTGGAACTAGTGGTTCCTTCTCCTGGGAACAGTCTTGCCTTGCATGTCCTCTTCTCGTTTGTAATTTCAACCCAAAGAGTCTCTCCTCTTTCTGATGATTCTCCCATACAGTCCCCTCTCTTCCCTATGGTACCTTTCTTTACCCCCATCATACCACTGAACATGGCATGGGATTATTTCACCTGGTTGTTTAATTGTTCCTTATCAATGTCAGAGTTGCCTGTGTTTTCAGTTTAGCATTTGGTGTTATGCTAGATGCTGCCATACTAAACATAGAACCTAGTACACATTGCCTTGGGTTCTTTTCCTGTGGCAGTGATAAAATCCCCTGACAGAAGCAATTTAAGGGAGAAAGGGTTCGTTTTGGCTCACAGTTTTGATTACGGTCCGTAGTGGTAGGGAAGTCACAACTGGAGGAGCTTGAGGGAGCTGGTCACATTGCATCTTTAGTCAAGAAGCAGAGAGAGGCCAACTATGACTCAGTTCCCTTTCTCCACGTTATATAGTCCAGGAATGGTCCTGCCCACAATTAAAATGGGCCTTTCTGGATCAACTAAGGCAATCAAGATAACCCACACAGGCATGCCCACAGGCCCCTCTTCCAGGAAATTGTAGATTTCGGTCAAGTTGACAACACTGAACCATCCTGTATGTGGTAGACACTCACTGAATAACTGAATGAGTCTGTGCCATCAGCAATCAAATTCAATTGCATTTCCTTTCTCTCTGCCCCTAATGCTGCCTTCCCCGATCGACCTTACCTGAACTTTGAGTTATTTTCAAACTGATCTCTTAAACTTTCTCTCCAACTATGCTTTTAAATCTGTCTCCGTTTTTCTTACCATTTCCTATGATTTCTGTTAAAGTTTAAACTCCTAAGGGTAGCATTCAGGACCCTCTGGCCTCATCATCCCCTGTCTGCTCTCTTTCCTGTGTTCTCAGGCCACCAGGAACCTCCCACCATGTGTTTGGCATGGCCCAAGTCTTCCCTAGTGCTACACGGTCAGATCTCCAGTGCTCCAAGCACAGCCTAGAGCCTGTGAAGCCCTTCTAGAGTGTGCATCTAGGCTATTTTACTTTCCTATAGCACTCTGATCACATTTTTCTTTGCTGTTATACCTGTTAATACTCAATTAAATAGCTGTTCGCAAATATGCCTCCTTACCAGGCTCATGACTTTGTCAAGGAAAGAAACTGCTCTATTTATATAGCACACCTAAGGTGGTATCTCCTAGATTGCATAGTGTTGAATAAATAGTTGGCTGCAGGATCGTACCGTCATTAAACTTGGTCTGCTAGTTGATTTATTACAGGCCTCGTTAGAAGGCCTCTGCCACAGAATCTGAATGGTGAGCAGATTTTGGCATTTCTAGGCCTACTCAGTAACTTAGAAACTCAGGAATTAAAATGTTTTCTTTATTTCTCAACTTTATTTTTTCTATTCTTTAGTTAGCATGCAAAATAATTTTCTTTGTATTCATGTATGTGTATATCTTTGTATCTTGCTCTTATTCACCACCCTCACTACCTTCCCACATCCTTCCTCTTCTCCTCTCTAGCTGGTCCCTTTGACCTGCCCTGCAAATAGTACTTTTCTTTCTTTCTGAACGTGCACGCACTCACACACGTGCACACATACACACCCCTAGATTCTGCATATGAGAGAAAACATGTGATATACTCTTTCTTTCTCCACTATCCTGGCTTCTCTCATCTTCCACTCTGTCCAGACCTCTTTCTTCTTCCACCTATAGTGAAATTCACATTCCACATGTGAAAGGAAAAGTTATATTTGCTTTCTTGAATGTGGCTTCTTTTGTCCCACATGATTATCTTCCAGGCATCCTTTCTCTACAGCTGACATGGTTTCGGTTTGCTGCATGACTGTATAAGAGTCCATTGTTCATGTATGTCATCTCTTCATCTTTGATAAGCATCTAGACTGGATCTGTGGCTTAGCTATTGTGAGTAGGGCTGCCTTCAGTATGGACATTCTGGTAACTCTGTGGTATGCCCTTGTCAATTCCTTTTGGGTAGACACCCAAGAGTGGTATAGCTCAGAGATCAGATGGTAGTTTTCAGCTTTTCTGAGGGCCCTCTACACTCAGTTCTATAGTGGCTGCACATGTTTGCATTCCTATTAGCAGTGAATATGGATTCCTCTTTCCCGCATCCTCACCAGTGTTTGCTGCTTTCTCAGTTTTGACTGGAGTAAGAGAATCTTAAGGCAGGTTTCATTGGCATTTCCCTCATGCTAAGGCTGTTGAAGATTTTTTTCAAATATTTTATTGGCTTTCTATGTATCTTCTTTTGAGGAATGTGTTCAGTTCATTCACTCATTTGCTGACTGAGTGGTCTGGGGTTTGGGTGTCTCGTGCTTTTGGTTGTTGTTTTGTTTTGTTTTCTTAGTTCATAGATGCTCTGTTTTCGTTTTTTGGTTTTTAGAGACAGGGTCTTACTAGATTGCCAAGGCTGGTCTGAAACTCCATGTAGCTGAGACTGCCTTGCCCGCATGATTTCAACATCATGCAGGTGTTATAGCCTATGCTTTTGTCAGACAGATATGAGAATTGCATAGAGAAAAACCAGACAAAAACAGAACTACTAGTATAAAGCACAAAAATAATTTCATACTAAATTAATTAGTAAACTATAAATTTAGAGGAACGCATGATGCACTGCATTCCATTTCATTGTTCTGCTTCTAACATATTTCATTGTGATTTGGACCAGGAGCATGTCACACTTTCTGGCAAGTTGGAAATCATATCTGGTGTTTTATTAGAACAGCTTTATGGGCAGATTTGAAATTTAAGGTGTATCTTTGAAGAATAAATCACATTTGAATTAGAGGCCACATCCAAATTTATAGGACCCACAAAAATCACCTTTTTCTCTTTTGTCTGTGGTCCTGTCTGTTCCCAGGCCTCCTCACCACACAACAGGGTCTATAGAATGCTCGCTAGGATGTGAGAGCTCTGTAAATATCCTTCAGGGAGATTGCTGCTTCTGGGACAGTTAGATTTTTATAGACTTTACTGTATTTGCATTTTAGTCTGAAGTGTTCATGGTGGCTTAACGAAATTAGTGCAGTCTTTCTTTAGAGGCTTAACAATGTCTTTTGAGGGGAAAGTTTTTCTTTTATGATATACTCTGAGACTGTCTGTGATAGATAACTGAGCACACAGGGCCCATGAACTGCATTTGCTACAAAGCATGCACAAGCCAGTAACAAGTCCAGCATGCTGTGTATTTGGATCCACTGGTGTAGAGAACTGAAAAATCCACAGCATGCCATTCTACTTTTATTCATTATTTGGAAAAAATAATTATTAGTGTACCACCGTGGGATTAGATCATTAGAGTCCTCATATTTACTACCTTCCAGAAGCTTTTTTGTGTCTTTGTTTTCTTCACATGTGAAATAGTGACAGATTGTGATGAAGGTGAATGATCTATGAGAATTACTCTGTAGGGCCAGGGTGTACCTACATAGTAGAGTGCTTGCCTAACATGCCCACAGACCTGAGTTCCATCCCTAGCACTGGAAATGAACAAAATGCCAAGGCCAGGTCATAGTGTATAGCTCGTGCTCAGTAAAGAGGTACTCAAATGATTAAGAAAGGAACAACCCTATGCTTAGTTTTAAATTGTATGTTCCAGCTTTGGCTCTTTGTTGAATTATCTCATATTAGGATAACATATTTCATTTAATAGCATATACATTATGTTTTTAAATTGGGAGTTTGCCTGATCATTCTTAAATGTTTTATATATTTTAAGATTATAATGCAATTGCATCATTTCTCCCTTCCCTTTCCTGTCTCTCTCTTTCCTCCATCCAAACCATCCTGTGTGCCAGTCTGTGCTCTCTTTCCAATTAATGGCCTCTTTTCCCATTAATTGTTGGTATGTATGTGTGTGTGTGTGTGTGTGTATAATTGTGTGTATATTCTTATTTATAACCTGTTCAATCTATCTATTGTTCCTTGTATGTATGTTTTCAGGACTGATCAAAGTTTGGTACGGTATAACTAATTTGTGTGCTCTTTGCTGGGAAAAACTATTTCTCGCGCTCTCAACATTTCTTAGTTGCCTCTAGTTCCTTGTACAGGGTTGAAGCCATGTGAGCTTTCCTTGTCCACATTAGCATGTCTATCAGTGTCCTCCTTGTTCAACTCATGTTCAGTCAGTCACGTTGATGAGACTTTATGCATATAGCTTCTTCTGACATTTCTAGGAGACATGATCTCACAGAAAACTCCCTGTCCTGGTCACTTTTCTTTGTTGTGATCCTTCGAAGACCTTTTAACTTTCAGAATTAATTTTCTTATCAATGAAATGTCATTCCCAAGGAAAGAAAAGAAGGGTATGTGATACAATAATATAGACCTTAGAAGAAAGGTCTTTATTAAATTTTACTAGTGGAGAGTCTTCTGTCATTGTGTGACAGGCGCCCCTCCCTTTAGTCTGATAGCTAATGCTGCAGTAGCACCAAAAGGAACTTGGGAGAAGTACTTTGTGTTAGAAAGAGGGAGGGTTTAGATCACAGGCTTAGATGCAGATAGTACTTCTGTTCATTAATTATGTAGCGTTCCTCGAGCCAGTTATTTGAACTTTCTGATCACCATTTTTCTCTTCTCTAAAATGTGAGTTTAAATAATACTTAAAAATCTTTGCACAGCATTACTTCCCTGTCTTTCTTTCAAAGTTGAGTTCAAGATGTCCACGGGTTCTTCTACAGCCGCAGGTTCTCACTATGTATCCCAGGCTGGCCTCAAACCCAAGCTCGTCCTGCCGCAACCGCTCTCTTGAGTGCTGAGACTACAGGTGTATGCCACCATGACCGCCCTTAGCTTCTCATTTACAGATGCACACTAATTCCTTTTCAACCAGACAACAAATTTCTCAAGTGTATCTCTTACCCTCCAGAATGTAGTGTTGAGATGGTAGATAAATATTTCTTAATACTTTGTTTGATGTTACCTTTCATTCAGCATGTTTAAGGATTTCTACACCTTGAAATGTTCCTATGTTGGTATAAAGGAATTAAGTATTACAGACGAACTATTTCTCAACATTTGGAGGCTTGGGTTCTGCCAGTGTCTTACTCAATGCTTCAGTACCACTCAAGATATTGCCGAGTGTAAATTGGTAGAAGAAAGGGTACAACATCAAAATAAACTTCAATACCTCTTACTTTATATAGAAATTAATTTGTTGATCTAGGTGCCCATGTTTGCCCTGTTAGAACTTTAAAGTAAGATTTTAAAATCGATCACTAGAAGAGTATATTAAGAACAATAATAGGACATGTGCCTAAATTTACAATTTCAAAATGAGCTTTTGAGGTTCTGGCCTCTTGCTGCCTTTTTTCCTTTCTTATGTCTCCATTTTCAGGAGTAAATTACATATTCTTGTGGAAAAGCCAAGACATCTTTCTATGATACCATATCATGGCCCTTCTGTTAGTTCTCCAGTCTGTCAGTATTGAGAACTGTCTGTTGAAACAGACAGTTTGTCTATAAATTGTTTTAGAAGCAAGCTGTATAAGCAGGCAGAATTCTATTAAATATACAGCCAAGACTTTTATTCTCTTTGCGAGCTTCAATATTGTCTAACTAGCTTTAGATATCACCTGTAAGTTTTCCCAATATTTAATATTTGGCCCTATTAATGAATATTTAAAATATACAAACACGAAAAGTAATGTAACAAATAGTAATTTGACTTGAATTACACTAGGGTAATGATTTCCATCCAAATGCTGCCTTGTGTAACCCCCCAAAAATGTATGTACACATACCCTTCCCCAAATGCTGACATCCCTGCTGTGTTGTCCTTCCAGTTTCCGGCTGTTAACCATCCTCAGTCATTAGAGAGAAGATACCTTGGAATCTTAAATAGTGTTTTACTTGACCTTATGAAGGTAAGAAAAGTAAATTTTTCTATAAAAAGAAGTCCTTTGGTTCCCTGCCTACTTGGGACCATACCCTGCTTTTATGAATTAAATGTTTTGTTAGTAGATGATTAATGGGGAGTATGTCATGTTAAAAGGCATGTAATTTGTTTATAATTGCAACAGGAATCTGGTGTTGTCTCAGTCCATGTAGAGAGGAGCATGTAATCCCTAAATTGCTTTCCTAAAATGGGCAGAATAATGAAAATCTGTTGGCACTCAAGAGCTACTCACACTTACATTTGAAAACAAATCTTAAAGTGAATGTTGTAAGACAAAAGATTTTACAATTATTTGTATACAACATTGAAGGCTACTCATGATTTATGCAGATTTAATCAGTGATTCTAATTCTGTTTTTTTTCCCCTCTAACTGGGCCTCTTTTTGCCTACGCAGATTACTCTTTCTGATTTTCTTTAGATGTGTCAGGATCACAGCTAACATCATGACCTGAGCGTTCCTCCTGTCAAAAGACATCCCACTCCAAACTAATAAAAGCGTCCTCAATTTTAAAATTTATTTTATTATGTGTATGCCTTTTGTCTGCATGTCATGCAGTGCCTGCAGAGGTCCAAAGAAGGCATCGGATCTCCTGGGCCTGGAGTTCCAGGCTGTTGTGAGCCGCCATGTGAGTGCTGGGAATCAAACCTCTGGAAGAGGAGCCAGTGCTCTTAACCACTGAGCCACCCAAAATTATTTATTAAAGATTTTCTTACTGGGCATAGTAGTACATGCTTGTAGTCTCAGAATTTGGGAGGCTGAGACAGGAAGACCTCTCTAAGTTTGAGGCTAGCTTGAGTTACAAAGACCCTGTCTCAAAAATGAGCAAGCAAAGGTTTTTCCACCTCAGCAAACAGTAGTCTCCTAAGTGAAAGCTCTTTATCGTATTTTCCAAGTTTTTGTTTCAGGCAGTAAATGTGCAGGCAAACATCAGTTGTTTCAGAATAGAGCTTCAATGCTTGATTATGAATCAGTTTTGGTTTATGGCCATCTATTCAGCTGTCAGAATGTGGAGGCTCCACTGTGTGCAGAAACTTCAAGCTCAACAAGTCGCTGAGCTGTGTTCTTAGAACTTGGCTGTGCTTTAGGGTGTGTTCAACTCTGTCCCAAGGAACAGTGTGAGTAGGTGTAGGGGCAGATGTGGAGAAGGGGCTCTGGCATTAGGGAGAGGCCACATAGCATATAATGTTTCTAGAGATAGATGCATAGTGTTCATTAACCCATAGAGGAGTTCAGGAATCTCACAGTAAAGCATTTCTGTCTTAACATTTTACAAATTTAATTAAATACCAAGTACCGTGTTCTATAAAACTCTAATAAAGCACTGATGGTATTAACACAGATTGAGAACTGCTATTTTTTTCTAATGAACCCTCAACACTCATTCAATTTAATTAGACAAATTATTAGGTAAATCTGTTGGATTTTGCCAATACTTTCTTTCATGTAGCCAATACTTGTTAAATTGGGCCTTACTCATTTAGTAACTTTTAAAATAGAAATAGAACAGAATAGAAAAAATTGAATTAAATACAATCTTATGTTTCCTGACTTTTTTTCTCTCTTTTTCTTTAGTTAAAACTGTAATGATGATTAGTGAGAAAAAGAGGCTATGAATTTGAAGGAGAGTGGAGAGGGCTACACGGAAGGGTTTGGAGGGAGGAAAGGGCTTGGAAAGTAAACATTCTAATTCCTATCATTTAATATGTATATTGTTACTGTTCTCTAAAAGTAAGCAAGTATTTTTATTGAAATACAAATTCAGTTCAGTGACTACTCTTCCCGAGGACCCAGGTTCAGTTTCCAGCATTCACATGGTAGCTCATAACCACTTTTAACTTCAGTTCTGGGGGATCAGAGGCCCTTTTCTGGCCAGTGTAGGCACTGTATGAATACGTGTGCAGACATATATATTCATGCGAAACACACATACACAGGTACACACACACACAGACATATGAATTGCACATTTGAATGTATTTAAATTATGTCTACATCTCTGAGATTTTATAAATATAAGCATATTTTTGTTACATTACCTGTATTAAGACATTAAAAACTTAGTCAATATGCAAGAAACCTCCTTTGGATCTTTCCTAGGTCTTACCCTCTTGGCCCACTCTGCCTCCTTCAGAAGCCATAATTTTGATTTCTGTCACTGATTAATATTGCCTAATAATTATTGAATTATATACATACACACATATCACCATTCCTTTTATGTGTTTTTGAAGATTTTAAAAGTGAAAAGCCTTCGTTGTCCTTTCGGTCAGCCTCTTTGCTGCTCCCTAAATGTGTGCTAATTGTATCCACATCTAATAATTAAAATGTTTATCTCATCTTGTACCTCTTTAGAGCTGCTATTTTAGTAAAGATACAATCACTAGAATTAATGCACACCCATGCCCTTAATAGTTTTAAAAATAACTACAATAATTATATTTGCTTTGCATTAGTTTTAAAAAATGATGATGCCTCCCCCAATACATACTCAATTTTTTAAACTGTTAACTAAGTAAATTTCATACTATGCTTATATGGTCTTCATGCTTTAAAGTAATTGTATTCATAGCATATGAAAATAGTTTTGTATGTACAGTAACTTCTACAAGATATCAAGTAAGTTAAAATAGCACCAACTCTTCTGAAAGGTCATAGGTGTATTTAATTTAGAAAGATTTCTTGGGGGGAGGTTCTTCTTAATGAGCATTTTATTTAATGGTAGCTGTTTGAAATACTAGTTAAAACTATCATAGTTTTTGTTCTATAATAAGGGAGAAAAATAAGGGAGAAATGAGACAAGTTCTCAGTTGTGTTTGAATTAATATGGATATAAATCCACTTGCATGTAATTAGTGGTTGAGTTTCAATAATTAGAATCTTTGTATCAAAATGAATATATCAGTGTCTGGTAGGACCAGAATTGAAATGTATGTGGTGCAATGTTAAAACTCAAGTCTGGCTTATTGGAAGCAAATTTGCTCTCACTAGTTAACTATATATATATATATATATATATATATATATATTAATTATGGATCAGACCGAACTGAGCTGTAAGTGCATTTGTTGATGTTGGAATTTTACCCATCTTCCTTTTTCTGAGATAACAAATACCTAAAAAAGTGAATGTCGGCACTTTATTGCCCTGTGTTAGGGTTTGTTGGTTATTTTTTTATGATATTTGATCATTTTATAAATCAAAATAAAAAATTCTGTCCAGCTAAAATAAACAATTTTGGTGAAAACATTTCGGTTAGTGCATTCCACATAACACAGAGGGTTAGTACCTTAATGAACAAAGAACACTTAAAGCTAAGTAGGGATGCCTGCAGAACCAGGAAAATGAGTGAGGAGACTCTGTCAGTGACTGGTAAGCAGCCTTGCTAACAGCAAAGGTACGAGGTAAAACATCTGTAAGAGGGAGTGAAGCAGTGACTCAGTGGTTAAAGCCACTTGCTGCCCCTGCAGTGCACCCATATTTGGTTCCTAGCACCTATATTGGATGACTCATAGCCACATGTAACTCCAGTGGCAGGGAATTCATGTCCTTTTCCAGCCTCTGAGAGCAACTGCATACACGTGGTGCATGCATATGCGTGTGCACGCACACATACATACACAATAATAATAACTTTAAACCAACAGCTGGGATATGGCAGCTTTTATAATACCTGATTTGCAACCCCTAAGAAAAATGAGAATGCCTATTGTTGGTGAGGGTCCCTAGAAACCGGTAGACTCCTACATTTCCTGAGAGGATTATAGACAACCTTCCTAATTGGCAATTTGGCAGCATGGAGAAACAATCCCTACCAGTGCCACCTTTAGGAATCCATTAGATTTCAAGTGTTTTGTCATAGCATTAATCATAATAGTGAAAGGTGACTATCATTCAAATATCTAGTAGTAGTATGCTTGCTAAGTAAATCATGATAGACTTATACCACAAGCTTCTGCACAATCATTTAAAGCCTTATTAAGACGGGAGGAGACAGAGGCGAGGGGCTCAGCCTGCAGTTGCCCAGTTACACCTTGTTGTAAGGTTGAGGATGTAGCTTGATTGTAATGCACTTGCTTAGTATGCACAAGGCCTTCCCTTCAAGCCCCACCCTTCCCAAAAAGCATATTGTAAGACGGTGTATTGCCACGTGCTTCAGAACAAGGAAACTGTTGGAAACAATGTGACCTATTAGTCATCGGGGAATTCTAAAAACAAAGTATGAAGTATACACATAGAGTTAAAGCTCTGTACTTTATGGAATGATCTCAACGTTGCATGTTAAGTGGAAGGGAAACTAAATACATACAGTTGTGTGCTTACAACTATTGGGGTAAAATGAAAAGAGTCAGAGGAAACTATGTGCAGATTATACCTCATGTATATATAATATGCCTTATATATAATGCACGGGGAACTGGTGCTCTGTCTCCAGAGAGAATAACTGGGTATCTTAAAGACAGTAGAAAGATGAAGAATGCAAATATATGCATATTAAAAAGGTTTTTAAATGTTTAAGTTATACTGCAAAAAAATGTTTTTTATAAGTAAGTGAAAAGAATGGGATATAAAGGCAAGTGTATATCGTGAGCCAGGTATTATAGCAGAAAGATTGTATGTGGTACTTATAAGCACGGCTATAAAGATTTCTACCAAGAGGACTATAATTGTGAGGTTGTGGGTGATCTGGTTGATTTTTTTCATTCCTTGAGCTATTATTGTTGCTAGGTATTTTGCAGTGACCACATATTTCTTTTCTAGGAAGAAAGGATAAGGTAATTGGTAGAGTTTAAATTCAACTTTGTTCTTTCCATTCCTAAACTTTTATTTCCCAAGAATTTACTGAAGTTGGACCCAGCTGACAGATATTTGACAGAGCAGTGTTTGAATCACCCTACATTTCAAACCCAGAGACTTTTGGATCGGTCTCCTTCAAGGTCAACGAAAAGGAAACCTTACCATGTGGAAAGCAGCACACTGTCTAATAGGTAAATATTCCCTTCTAAGGAAATACAAATGCAGTCGTGGTCTTATAAGTAGGTGGAAGAGGCGGCTGCTAAAATTATGCAATTAGAGAAAAGAAGGAAAGCCCCCTTTATTCAAAAATATCTTCTGCATGCTTATTACATGATTCAGAACTATAATTAAAGAGTTGTGTAGGACTCTTAAAGACTTTCTTGTATTTAACAAGTATATGATGAAAACCTATGCGTTCACTTGGAAGGTAGCATTGAATTAGAAACTCAGGAGGTTTCCAGCATCTCAGACAGCATTAAGACCTAGCTGATGTTGTGTAAATGACAGGGGAAGGGGGTTCCTGAAAGGTAAAGAAGACACTGAGCATGTGTGGGACTAAACTAAACTAGGAAGCCGCTTTAAGAAGGGTTTTGTGATTTTATTGTACTTGACTTTCAATCATTGAGAAATGAGGGTTTTTTTTATAAAAATAAGCATATGAAAATAGTGAAGTAAATAATTAAAAGTTGTACGTTTTAAAAACACTTTTTGAGCATTAAAATATTTGTTTCTTGCCTGGGCATTCCTGTAATCCTAGCCCTGAGAAACCATTAGGGAGTCAAACAGGCTTCAGGCTTCCTGAGTTCCCCTGCCCCTCCCTCCTGAATACCAGGATTGCAGGCTTGTGCCATATCTGTCTGAAAACTTGTTTCTTCCCCCTCCCTCCCTCCTTCCTTCCCTCCCCTCTATTGGATCAGTCAGATTACCTTTCCTGTCCTGACACTCCCCAATTCTGTAGCTGCATTTCTAGGAAAATGGTGTTCTGCGCAACCTCCCCTGTCTTCCTTCGTTCTCTAGAACCCAATTTTGGCATCTGAGAATTTTTATGTATGGGATATAGAAGTAATTTATTTCTCTTTTTTTCATTGATTTTTATTGAGCTCTACATTTTTCTCTGCTCCCCTCCCTACCAATCCCCTCCCCTTCAACCCTCTCTTAAGGTCCCTATGCTCCCAGTTTACTCAGGAGATTGTTTCTTTTTCTTCTTCCCATGTCGATTAGATCCATGTATATCTGTTTCTTTTAGGGTCCTCATTGTTGTCTAGGTTCTCTGGGATTGTGATTTGTTGACTGGCTTTCTTTGCTTTGTGTGTAAAAACCACTTACGAGTGAGTACATGTGATAATTGTCTTTCTGGGTCTGGATTATCTCACTCAAAATGATGTTTTCTAGCTTCATACATTTTCCTGCAAAATTCAAGGTGTCATTATTTTTTTTTCTTCTGTGTAGTACTCCATTGTGTAAATGTACCACATTTTCCTTATCCATTCTTCGGTCGAGGGGCATTTAGGTTGTTTCCAGGTTCAGCCTATGACAGACAATGCTGCTATAAACATAGTTGAGCACATGGCCTTGTGGCATGATTGAGCATCCTTTGGATATATGCCCAAAAGCGGTAATACTGGGTTTTGAGGAAGGTTGTTTCCTAATTTTCTGAGAAATCGCCACACTGACATCCAAAGAGGCTGTACCAGCTTGCATTCCCACCAGCAATGTAGGAGTGTTCTCTTTTCCCCATAACCTCTCCAGCATAAGTTGTCATCAGTGTTTTTGGTCTTGGCCATTCTTTAAGATGGAATCTCAGAGTTGTTTTGATTTGCATTTCTCTGATGACTAAGGATGTTGAGCATTTCCTTAAGTGTCTTTCAGCCATTTCAGATTCCTCTGTTGAGAGTTCTCTGTTTAGGTCTGTACTCCATTTTTAATGGATTATTTGTTCTTTTTATGACCAATTTCTTGAGTTCTTTGTATATTTTGGAGATCAGACCTCTGTGGGGTTAGTGAAGATCTTTTCCCATTCTATAGGATTTTGTTTTGTCTTGTTGACTGTGTCCTTTGCTTTACAGAAGCTTTTCAGTTTCAGGAGGTCCCATTTATTAATTGTTTCTCTCAGTGTCTGTGCTACTGGGGTTATATTTAGGAAGTGGTCTCCTGTGCCAATGTGTTCAAGTGTACTTCCCACTTTCTCTTCTATGAGGTTCAGTGTGGCTGGCTTTATGTTGAAGTCTTTGATTCATACGAAATCAAAAACAATGAAGCTTTTAAAATTTGAATATTAGCCCCCCCACGCACACAAATTTTCCTACTGTATATGGAAAATTATTCTTAATAGAGTGGAATTTTGAAAGATCAAAACCCAGCACTTTGAGGCCTGGGAGGCATCCATCAACTAGGAGAAGCATTGGTCCTGAATTTGCTCTCCTAAGCTGTGCATGCGGAGCTGTTGTGGAGCTCTTTGCTCGTCGGGACAGTAGCTTGTTCTAGCCCAGCTCTGAGCTGTTCTTAGGTGGTCTGTTCACTGTTCCCATCCTCAGGATTTTGCTATATCAAACCCCGAAGTAACTGTCAGCATTTGGTTGCTCCATTGCACTTGACTGACTAAAATCATTCTTGTATGTTCTCTGGGATCATGCCTGGCTTGGTTGGCGGCTTTTAGTCCGCCTTCTACTTGAACTGACACACAACTTCTCTGATTTACATGTACAAAGAAAATTCTCCCAATGACGTAAAGTTTGGTAGACCAGTGATAAATTTGGGAGTGGTACTGTACTCATCAGTGGTATAATCTGGAGTCTGAAAGGAAGCCTCTATATTAGCCTTGAAAACACTATGTTGACAGTGGCAGTTGTAAGTAGATAACAATTTCTGGGCGAGTTCATTTTGGGGTCTTGATGATATGTTGAATATATCAAAAGGAACAGTCCTCCGTGGTTTCTCTTTTCGTAGTCTTACATCATCTGATGCCTTTCTCACACTCTTGTCTGTGGTCCATACATACTCCACAGAAGCCTAGCTTGCCAGGGATATACATTCTAGCTGGTGTCTCAACAGAGGCTTTCTAAGACCATTTTAGTGTGTTCATAAAACTATATCTGTCAGTTGTCTCTCACATGCTCCTCTGTCCTGTGCCTGGAGATGTTCTGTCACCCTGTTGTTTGATGCTTTACCTTTATCTCTTTTGGCTTTTTTAGGGGCTCGCCACCCAGCTCCCAAATAAATCACAGAGAGGCTTATTCTTAATTATAAGTGCCCAGCCTTAGCTTGTCTTGCTTCTAGCCAGCTTTTTTTTTCTTATCTTAAATTATTCCATCTACGTTTTCCCTCTGAGCTTTTATCTTTCTGACGTCTGTATACTTACTTTTCTTTTACTCCATGGCTGGCTGTGTGACTAGGTGGCTGCCCCTAGCATCCTCCTCTTTTTGTTCTCTTGCACTTCCTTGCTCTTAGATTTCTCCTTCTATTTCTTCTTTCTGCCTGGCAGCCCCTCCTATCCTTTCTCCTGCCTGGCTATTGGTCATTCAGCTCTTTGTTAGACCATCAAGTGTTTTAGACAGGCAAAGTATCACAGCTTCACAGCGGTCGACAAATGCAACATAAGCAAAAGCATATTTACATCATTAAACAAATTTTCCGCAGCATAAACAAAAGCAGCACACTTTAAAATAATATTTTACATCACCCCATATCCCGAGTCATTTTCTCTCTAGGAGGCAGTGGACCCAGTCATTATTCAGTCACTGCCTGTCACCTTCAGACTCTTCTAAGCTTCCTCTCACCTTATGCATGGTGTGATGTCATTTTGACTGCGCTTAGCCTCTCAATGGGCCTGCTTTACACCTGCCCCTATTAATACAGTGTTGTGCCTCTGTCTCTGCTTGTTTGTCTATGGAATGTACAAGTCTGGCCTTGAACTTGTAGCTATCCTTCAGCCTCGTAAGTGCTGGAGTTATAGGTTTATATCACCATGCCCAGATATTTTTGCTTTTAAACTTATTTTAAGTAAGCGCATTAACTGTCTGTTCATTTATCTATCCTGCCAACCATTTGAGAGTGATTTATAGCCAGACAGTAGTGCACACATGTAATTCCAGCGCTCCACAAGTGGAAGCAGGAGAACGGTGAATCCAGGGCCAGCCTTGAGCAGTTTAAGGCTAATGTAGACAAGGCGAGGCCCCTGCCTTGAAAACAAGCAAGTGACTGAGTGATTTATACGTTAAATCTTTTTAAGTGACTGCCAGTTTAAAACAGACTCTTTGCAGTTGTGTGTCGATGAGATCTATGGAATTTTCAAAGCTGTTCTTTATTGTTGTGCTTTGCCAGAGCTCCAGTGTGAAGATAATGTGGTGCCCTCTCTACATAGAAATGACTGGATATCTAAAGCTCAGTAGCTTCCAATTCATCCTGACATGGAAACATGCAGCGTAGCTGTTTCTTTAGGATGGATCTGGATCTTTGACAGCCGCTTCTGCCTTTCCTTTACAGCTTCCTTTCTCTTATATTGTTGTGAATGTGTGTAAGATCACATGTAGACTTGCGTAGTCGTAATTCTAAGGGTTCTAGCAGCTCTAACAGACGTCTTTCCTGTTCTTCATCCCTTCCTGGTCCTGTTTTGAAGTTAAAACCCTTCTGCCATTGCTCTATGCTCTCCTGAAGGGAAAGGGAGAAACTATGATTCCAGGGAGGGCTAGAGTTTTTGACACAAGGAGCCCTGTGGAAGGACTGAACTAGGACCTGAGTCGGCGCCTGGCTAGGAAGAAACAGGAATGTCTGCCTCCATCCCCAGCCTCCCATCTCCCTTTTCCTGTGATACATCCTTCCGCTGCTCAGCCCTGCCAGTAGGTAGCCAGCTAGGACCCGAGGGACCTGATCTCCAGTGCTGTGCTCTTGAGGCTAAGACTGGGTAAAGACGTGGAGTATAGTCAACACACTTACTCAGACTTATCTCTCGATAAGACATCTACCGTAATTGAGGTTTTGAAAAGTTACTGAGATATTCTGGTTACCAAGGTTTAAGTAATCAGACAACTCTGGTAGTTTACGCCCTGATACCTTTAGGGTGCATACTGACTGGATGCTGTTGTTGGATAGAGCACACTGCTGAGCCATTATAACCGCCAAGCAGGTGGAGCTCAGAAGAAGACTGTTGTCTGTCTCCAAGAAGAATTATTATCTTGTCAGAGTTAACCATAATAAGTCCTAGTTACACTCTGTCTTAGAGCAAACTGTCTAGAGCCTGGCTTCTAGTAACTCACAATGTCTTTACACAAGTAACCAATATGAAGGAGAAGGAGCAGCCAGACTAGAGAGATGGCTTGGCTGTTAAGGGCTGGACTCAAAGTAAAAGGCACAATTTATTCCTTAGCCAAGTAATGACATGTCCACTAATCATCTAGATATGGCACAGATGCATCATCCAATAAGACTTTCATTTTGACTGCTACAAAAAGAACTTATCCTTTATTCCAATACTAGATCTTCTCTGTCCCAGAGCTTGCCCAGGGCACTTTTTGTAATGCATCTCAGTAAACCCCCCCCCCCATTTCTTCCTTTCTATCCCCCATACTTTGTTAGTGTGTGTGTGTGTGTGTGTGTGTGTGTGAGAGAGAGAGAGAGAGAGAGAGAGAGAGAGAGAGAGAGAGAGAGAG